AATTAAGGATGTATATGCTAGACACGCACCCAGTTCATTATATTAGAAATCTGTTCACTTACATCAATAATGAACAGCAGAACATTAGACATGCACAAATGAGACAAGGCCATTCATCCTTTCATCAATGACTATAGTGCAATGCAGAAATTATGCATTACCAGTAACATAAAGACTTTATTGATATGAACTGCAACCTTTCTGGTAAAACTACCTTTAAGATAAAGTAAAGATTCAAATCACAAGACAGTATAAAGGACCAACTAGCCCATTAATTATTAGGTTGAAATGATATAAATAATAAATGACAAAGACATCCACAAGGTATTTATTAGATATAAAGTTCAAAGGCAATACAAATGAGGTGTGATTACTTGAGAGATACCATCCTTCGCCACCCATCTCTAATCTGGTTTGCAAGCCATTTCAATCTGGGTATTTTCCATGATTATGTTTACAAAAAGTCATGAACAACACATTTAAAATATTCAGCTTATTTGATTACCTATCGACTATAAATCCAGTGTTAACATCCTTCCAAATACAGACTAGTTTAAAGTCCTCCTATAGTCTCTGCAGCACTGCAGCACTGCAGTAAGTACTGTATAATACTGTGTATGCGGTCAATTGTCTGTATGATTCACTCTGTAGGCTTTCTTTGATGCACAACAGAGTTCCTGAACTTCTACAAATCAAAGGGAAAAGACAGGACCCATTTCATTTATACAATTGGGTACTGACCTTTCAGCATGTGCTTTCCCGTATCACAGATTCACAAAAAAAAAAAAGTTAAAACTGTGTACTGTAACTGCAGGTCAGGACTAAAAGCTGAAGCCCAACTGTGATAGAAAAGTATTTATTAAGATGGCAAAAATATGTAAGGGTGGGTTTCCTTGCAAATTCAAGTGACCCCACATGCACTAATGCAATAATACAGAGCTTTAGGATATAACATGCAGTATACTGTATATCATATTATCTATCATGCAAGATAACAGTATTTGTTATTCACAATAATACGAAAAAAAGAGACATGGGCTACAGTATGTAGGACTAAAGGCCTGTGTTTACTGTATATCCAAGACTGACAGAAATCAGAATTTCATCTGAACCTTCATTATAAACTCTGATTATTTCTTCTTAAGAGTGCTCTTCCTGATATGTTTTTTAAAATAATTTAATTCAAAATAATAATTTGCTCTGCAATAACAATATACCTATGGGTCCAGAAACCACAAAGATTTGGATCCAAACATTATTTTTTGTCACTCATTTAAGTAATTTTTCCCCAGTAATAACCTGGGTTCAATATTACATCCGTGGCAGTATCTGTAATGGCATGACAAATGCAAGACAGCAAAGAAAGAGATCAGAAACTGTCAAGTGCAAAGAGGCCCAGGGCTCTTATATTCCTCCTGCCTTCAAGAAGCAGTTTCTAGCCCTTCTGGGGGTATTTGAAGCTAATTCATATTGTAACTACTTGTGTTTGTCTGTTTAATAGATGGATTAATTAAGAGCAGATGACATCTGCCTCATCTTCTTTCTTGTGGGGAATACATCCCAGCACGAACATTATTTGCTTATTTTCTTAATGTTCTCTGCCCAATGTGCTCAAGAATGGGTTTACAAAAAAGGCCTTTACAAAAATAATGACAGCTGTATTTGAAGTAATATGTAGGTAATGTTCATATCTGAACCACATCAACTCACTGGACCAGAGCTTATCCTGTTTTCCCACAGAGTTAAGTGGACAAGATGTTGGTTCATCACATTGATTACCCTATTGCCCCACCCCATTATACAGCTGGGTGTATTGGAGAAAAGGAGTCAAAGTACTCAAGGTACAACAACAGATCTGTAGTGGGGACTTGAACCCACCACCCACAAGTTACAAAACCAAATGTTTACCCACTACGCTACGCTGCCCCCAGGTTTAAGTCGTACCAGACAGACTTACAAGTTTACATACCAAGGACACAAAGGATTGGAATTTTTCAAGTTAAAAAATAAATTGGACATCTAAATCAAAATTGGACTTTAAAAGTACTGAATTAATATACATTTAAAAGGTCAAGCCACGGTTCAATTACTGTTGTTGAAATGTGAAAACAGTGAAGATAGAACAGCTAAAGGACACAGTTTAATTGGTGTGTTGTCCCCTGAAAATGTAAAGCAGTTAAACTTGTTTTGTTCCTCTCAGCAAATTTGCCTTTGAGATTGTTGTGAAATAGGTATATATCTGCATAAACTGATATCAGCAGGGGTTGCCGCAGATGGATACAGGCCAGTTGGGCTGCTAGGCCAAAAATCGGACCACCTGGCCAAACAAAACAGTATCAGTATTCAATGAAGTCTCTGCTATTTCTCCAATGAACTCTTAGTAGAGCCTGAAGCAAAGTGGAAAAAATGAAAAAGCCGAAAGAACAATTCTTCTTCCTTTGCAATCTTAATTGCAGCGTAACTACTGTAGTTTGGTGATTTTGAACAGGACCAAATGCTTTTGACCATATTCTCAATGATACTTTACAGGTAACGTAAAGGACCAACTTGGAAATTAAGTGGAAACAAAGCCAACTGACATTTTACCTGCTGTATTATTTACTATTTCCATCCATCCACTTTCTAACCTCTTTGTCCAATACAGGGTTGCTTACCACATTTTGCAGTGGGCAATTTCTCAATGGCGTAAAAAAAAAAAGTCAAACTCAAAAAAACATAATGCTGAAGAGTATAGCCAAAAACCTCAATTTGCCATCCATCTTCCAAGTGCTGTATCTGATTCAGCAAGCAATGGGTGTAAGATGGGGTACACCCTGTACATTGCAGGGCACACACAGACACAAACACACTCACACCAGGTCCAATTTCCCAGAATCCAATTAACCTACTAGTACATTTTTGGAACACGGGAGGAAACTGGAGTACCCAGTGAAAACCCATGGAAAACATTCAAACTCCATACAGACAGAACCCTGCGTTTGGATTTGACTCAAGGCCGCACCACTGAGAGGTAGCAAAGGATGTTTTAGGTAAAGCCTGCAATACTCAGTGTTCTGCTTTGTACTGAACTGTTGATGACACCATTATAATTTTACTTACCTATTGTACATTCCTTTAATTCATCCTTGAAAAGGCTCAGAAGAAATGCTGATGTGATAATTAAAACGGGAAATTTGAACATTAACAGTAGCAACAGGAGAATAAAACTATTCACAGTGTGAGATCAGTTTGAATAAGTCCATGTCAAAACAACCAAAAAAGAAATATTTTGTTGCATGACCATCTCAGATTTGCCTGAAAAATTCATGTAGAGGGTTACAGTCCTGCTGCGTTCAGTAATACAAACCTTTTTTCTTTTAATTTCTCCCTGGAGCTGTGAGTCAGCAAAGGTCAAACACGTATGTGAAAACTTTATCTCCAGCAGAAAAAACACACTGGTCTAAACTTGGACACTACCATCGTGAGCAGAACCCTGTTTGATTGGTCATCATGGCCAAGACCGTCACATCTTATTCAATATCACATCTTCGATATTGAAAATGACAGTCAGCAACTGCCCAATTCATGTTTGGCAATTAAATAGCTGAGTTTTATTTGGACCTCAGTCTAGCCCTACTTCCTTTATAAAACCTGTCTGAACTGAGAAACTCTAATTAAACTAGCATAATGACCCACAAAGATGGAACAAAATGACAGAAAAAAAGTAGCTGGTATAGCTTTCTCTCATGAATCGAACACGGCAGAGGAAAAAAGTTGGAATAGCACTGGCTCTGCTACAAAGAAAATCCCTGAGCTTTCACTGGAAGAAATTAGAGTAGTCTTTAGGGCTTTTTCTGTGAGCAAATAAACAACACAAAAGCTTCTTGCTCACAAAGATAAATGTCCCTGCACAGTCATCCTGTAGTTTGCAATGTGATTTGAATCAATTTCTGGGATAAACAGAAAACCTGCATGTTACTGCTGTAAAGAATTCACTTGAGAATACAACATAACTAAAGCCTTTTCCCAGCTCTTTCAAGAGATTTGGATAAGTGTTTCACTTTATTTTTTTATATTTTAATTGAACGTATTATGCTATTAGAATAAATGGAATTTAAAGGATCATTTAAGACAATCCAATGCAAGTCGAATCAAAATTCCTTTCGGTTTGCGTAATTGAAATCAACACATGTATTCTATCCTATTAAATATAACATTTTACTCCACCTTCCTGAAATAATTAATTTTAATGAAATAAAAAGATTATTCTTCATTTTTTTTAATCGTTGGACTTTTCTACCGCATTACACCAGGAACAGCAGTACAAATGTTTCCTTAACCCCTTTCTACTAAACTTTGTTGTTTAGTATGGAATATAGCTTCTAATACATCTTAGTTTATGTATTTTTTGTCGTTGTATAAACCTAAAGTTTTTGTGCTTTCGTTGATAAAGCTTTTACATCACCTTGTCTAGGAAACATTTTCTTGACACTTACACTGTTCGACACTTTACGATTCTCATCATATTAAACAACCCAAATTGATGAAAATGAAACATGAAAATTGACGTGCAAATAACTGCACATCGTTTTTCATGTTTCTTCTCAGCATGCTACACGGGTGGTTATTACTGAATAATTGGTCTCCTAATGGTTTTTCAGTCTAGTTTGGTAACTTACCCATATTTCAGTACAGAATACAGACGAGGTTGTGTTGTTGCAGTTAATTGTATGGGTTCAATACAGAACTATTAGCTTTGATTTCTGCATACAGAATATCCAATAATTTTTATTTAAGTGCAAACATTCTCAATAAGGTGCAAGTGGGAAGAAGTCATCACGAATGACTTTTCACCAGAAAACGACTTCGATTTTATTTTATTTTTTTCAAAACATTCCAGCAAACAAATTTTAACAATCGGGGACAATTCAAATGTGTTAATTTTACTGTGAAGAACTTGAAGAGTAAGCTGTTAAAATACCTATAAACAACAGGAATAAATGTGTGTCTCTAATACACACCTTATGCTGGGTTTTATGTACCTGAACATACTTATATGACTTGAATCCTGCACTATATTTGGCATTTTGTGTATCCAACAGTGTGGTTTATGGAATTGAATACTCTTCCCATTACATTTGTGTTTTGTTATATTTTGTTAATCATCATCCGAAACCGCCGGCTGCAACCTCGTTTTAGATCCAACATGGCTGATGCGATAAGGCTGTCTGACTACGCGTACCTGGAGCTGGATCGAGTGAAAGCGCCCTGCGGGGGTTTCCATAGTGAGGAGTTGAACTGCTCAGTCCAGGAGGGAGAGTCAGCCACTTCCTGGTCCGGGATCATGATCATTTTCACCAGAAATCGCTCTGAGAAAACGGACTTTGCAATGTAAACGAGACGCATTCCTGCGGTTTAGAACAAGGTAAGACCGACATTTCCCCATTCATAATAAATCTCCAAACTGTAAACTTTTTACTGTACAACAGCGAGTTAAAACAATGATTGGTAACTACGGTGGAGTTTTTTTTTTAAAGTAGAAGACCCCTGGGAAACACTTAAACATGAAAGTGTGTTGCTGAATCAGTAGTGTGTGAACGAGAGACAGAATTTTATGTGTTGTTCTGCGGACTCTGTTGGCGTCGGACAGTATTTTTAATTTGTGCCAAACTTTGCAATTTCTATTCATTGAGGCCTACCAAGTCAAACCCCCGGACAGCCTCCCGCAGCAGCCTGGTTGTTGACAGACTGTGCCGAAGTCACACCGAGGCTGCTGATTGGCTGTTTTCTGCCGTTCCTAGTTTCTGATTGGATGAAGTGTCCTTTCAGTCACATGACGTCGCTGGGTTTTCGCTCTCAGTGGTTTGATCGATTTTAAAGGAGAGCACATTTGGATCTTCCAATTCAATATTTTTGAAATGTTGTGCTTGCGTGCCTTGTGCTGTGTAGTGATTGCACCTGCGCGTGTTTTCTGAAGTTATTTTACAAGAGTTATTGAAACCAGATTTATTTCTACTCAAAACTATAGTTCATCCATTGACCGACTGTGAATAAGGATAGAGTCGGTGTACATTTGTATCTCTCCCAATCCAATATAGCCTGTGGGGTAATGCGGCTTAACCCAAGAATGTTGTTTGTACAGAGATGCTTTTACACAGAATTGCGTTATAAACAAGCCGTAAATGTTTCCCAGCAGACAACTGCAAATTTCTGATTGTAATGTGCCGTAACCCGTATATTTCCCGGAGTTTACCACATGGGTAAACAATAGCTGTAAATGTATCAGGCCGTTTATGGGTAGTTTTTGATAATGAAATGTATATACGATTAGCATTTCCTTTGTTGTGTAATATTTTCGTTGTGCTGCTAAAACTGATTGTTAACTCATCGACTCGATAGCTGCGGAGTTTTTATTTCACAATATTTCTGAAAGCTGCGCTGATTTATCCAGTCTGATTTTGATAATCTGACATCTTCAGTTTTTGCTTGGAAAGTGCTGCACGTCGCTTGGGTTTATTGTAGGTTGTTGTAGGTCAAGCAAAATAAAATAAGTTCCTCAATCCACGAAGTTCTGCATAACATGAAATGAATGTGCATCTGCATCCATCCTTATCGTTCGAAATCCATCTTTCCAAACATATAAACAATATTAAAATAATATTGGAGTTCATGATTCTCCCCATCTTCAAAAAGAAATAGAAAACAACCCCGCAGTCCCTCCACCATGGACATTTTCTCAGTGGTGTTAAAGAAAGTAAATCTCGCAAACATAAACTTGAATTAGCCATCTGTCCATCCATCTTTTGCTGTTCGGATTCAGGGTCACGGGGGAGCTGGAGCCTATCCCAGCAGGCAACAGGCTCAAGGCAGGATACACCCTGGACAGGATGCCAGTCCTTCACAGGTCAGACACATTCACACACACTAACACCTAGGACCAGTTTTCCCAGAAGCGAGTACACCTACATGTTGTTGAACTGCAGGAGAAAACTGGGGCGCCCGAAGACCTCAATTTTCATTTGATTCCAATTTTAATTCATTACTCGCTTTCAGAAGAATGGTTGTCATTGGGGTATAGTTGGGCAAACTCGAGCCTGTTTTTGTGGTTCGCTCTCAGAAGATGCTTCTTTCTTGCAGCCCTTGCCATGAATGCCACATGCTTGCAGGCAGTGTCAGCTGGTAGTTTTGGATGCTTGGTACCCTGAAGTTGCGAGTGTGTGTTACTGGAGCCGCTTGTCTCCGAACCACTTGTCTCTTGGCCTGTGGTGAAAAGATGCGCTCGGTTCTTCTTGTAAATGTAAAGCTACTTCTATACCAGTAGCTTTACATTTCTTAGTGATGGCTATTGCAGTGGGAAATAGTGAACCCTTTTATAGCCATCCTCCAACGTGTGAGGGTGGGGGTCAGGGACTGTTTGCCTACAGTCTCCAGAGAGTCCTCTGCCCTTAACCATGGTGATGCATGCTACAAGATGGCTCCCTTTATACCCCAGAGAAACAGAACTATTTCACAGGCCTCGATACAGTCTCAGAGGCTTGCATTACACTTCCAAAGATCAGAATGTTATCCCACATTTCTTTTGGGGGTTTTATTTAAAGGAATACGCACTTACAGGGGTGATTAAATGTAACTATTGAGCTTTCTGGATTTCAATTAATTATTTCTGATACATATAACTTTGCTCTCTGGGGCACTATTAACATTATCCAATCCGTAACTCATCGTGCTATATAGTATTTTGTTCTATTTTCATTGGAGGTAGGAATAAATCTGGAGGCCACTATACTTTGCCCCAGGTAATGAATATAGCAGCTCAGTTTAAACAGGGAATTAGCACTGCGTTTTGCCGGGTCATGCATAGAAAAGAGGCTGTCCATTGGAAAGTGAATAATTTCAGCAAGATTTCATGTTTCTTTGTTTTTTTTATTTAATTAGATTAAGTCTCTATGTTATTAATACTGTTACATTAGGCTTCCCATAAAGACTGTGAGCAAGTCAGTGATCATGTGGTGCACTGTATCTTGTTCAAATCCTTTGTAAGTATAAATATTTTTTCTTCCTCTCATATATATGTATCTCCATTTCCAGAAAATGGATACATACTGTCTGTGTTTCTGTTGCCAATTATACCAAAAGTTAACGCAAACATTTATATATATATGGAAAAAATGGACCGCACACAAAAACCTAAATCTGCTCTGTCAGCCAGCCCTTGTTGTGCAGGGAATGCCTTACAAAGAAGGAAAACAGTGATTCTGCCTTTTCTCTCCATAACCGTAAAGTGCAATACAGTGTGTTGACCATATGAGCCACGAAAGATACTTTTATTGGATTAGAAGAATTTTCATTATGTTGTTACTTTTACCCAGAGGTCAGAAACTAGCAGATGCCTGCCAAATTCAAGGCTTGAAATCAGCCTGACAATGAGAGAACAGCCTAGACCTCCATTTAAAAAGATCAGCTGAAAGATTTTTTTTACCCCTATTATGTGTTCAGCTGCACTAGCAGCTTGAAGAATATTTCAGCTCTGGGTCAGCGTGAAAGGCAACAATAGAGTAATTAAACACGTTTAAAAGAAGACGTGGAGCAATATTTGTCTTGATCCACAACGTTTTAGAGGCTACGTTTTGCATTTGTGAAGGATTTGCCACTATTTGTCAGATGAGCAGGGCCTGTAGGTTTTTGTAAAGTGGCAACAAAACAGCCCAGCTTCTTGTAAGGATAACCTGCCCAGTGAGACTTTTTACATGCGAGTTTCAGAATTTTTAAGGAAAGCGCTTTTGACATTAGAATCAAATTTATGGTGCTATGTTATTGTTTTCTAACCTTTTAAACTCTTGGGTCCCACAATCTTAAACCCTGTATTAAAATGTGTTCTGGTTCCCTTACATTACTATTAAAATAATGAATACGGCATATTGCACTTCACACTAAGCACATCATGTAATTCCAATCCCATTGCAGAGAGCAGAGGTGTGTGGGGGAAGGGTAGCAAAGTGCAGATATCTTTAGAAATATAATCATACAAACTCACTTACAATAGAAATGGCTTAACCATTAGCTTCTTTAGCCAAAGTTTGTAAAAAGTGTTAATAAACTGCCATAAAAAAAAACAGTTATCTTTGGGCTGTTATTTTTTCTTTCTGGGGTTATGCACATCAGTTTAGTTTGTATGAGGTCTACCAATAGGGCTATTGTTGGAACTATTTAATTTTTTAGTAAAACTGTAAATTGCAAGCATTTGAAGACTATTTTCATAAGGTAGGTTAAAAATAGAACACTTTGCATAGAGTCAGTGATTCCCCAATATAAAGTCACAGTGATCTTGGAGCAGCAGATAATTTTGGTGTAGCCGATAATTTTGGTTCTGTACCATTCATTATAAGCAGCCAGTAGGGTAATTCCACACTATTTTGACCTTTCATCCTCATACATCAGCAAGGAAATGGCCCACCACATCATGCAATTATAGTTATTTACTACTTTGTAACAGCCAACTGCTCTCAGCACTCATGTTTGAGAGCTAAATGATTAGGTTGTGCACATTAGGCAGGAGCTGAGGTGAATTTGTAAGCTCTTAAATGTTTGCAGTGGAGCTGCGCTTTAAAGAAAAGGTTTCAAAGTTGCGGTGAAATGTTTGACCCATAAGGTTTATTATGATAAACAAGAAGTTGATTGCCATCTTTTTACTTGGTCGTTTACGGATCCTCTGTTGTTTCTTTTACCCATTTTGTCACGGAACTCCGTTTTTGAAGCATTTAAACATGTGCAAATCTTTTTTTTTTTTAAATATTTTGACTGCCTTTTTTCATGATGTTGCTGATCCTACCACAGCTAATGCTTTGCAGCCAGGGTAAACAGTATCATAAGAACAGAAGGAGCTGTAACTTAGCCTGCAGGCTGCTCTGATTTAGTTCCTATAATGTAGTGAGCAGTAATACTATAGATGTGTTCTGCCCAGGTACGTTGCTGTTGAAGCTGCTCAGTATTGTCATGAATTATGTTCTTCTGTTGTACTGCAGCAGGGTGATGGTTCCGTAGTTTATTTTCCTAGTTTTAGAAGAGAGCTGTTACTCAAAAGAGCAATGTAAAGGCCAACAGAAAAAAGCAAGCAAATCAATATAAAGAGGCACTAAAACTGCATGTCAAGAAAAAGAGGATCAGCCAGTGCTAATGTAAGTAGGCAGAGTGTAACATAACTAGTAGCAGAAGAACACAGTCTGCAGGACTATAATAATAATAATAATAATTGCTTACATTTATATAGCGCTTTTCTGGACACTCCACTCAAAGCGCTTTACAGGTAATGGAGACTCCCCTCCACCACCACCAATGTGCAGCACCCACCTGGATGATGCGACAGCAGCCATAGTGCACCAGAACGCTCACCACACATCAGCTATCAGTGGGGAGGAGAGCAGAGTAATTAAGCCAATTTATAGAGGGGGGGATTGTTAGGAGGCCATGATTGATAAAGGCCGATGGGAAATTTGGCCAGGACGCCGGGGTCATTGATAAAACTAAGTTTTATCAATGAGATTCTACGATATCTGAAGAGGTCAAACATCAGGGTTCAGACCTTACGTACGTTTTCCAAAATAAAAAAAAATGTATATGTGGAGATTCCAGGGTTTGCATTTGATCTCTACGGTCTTTGGTGATGAGTCAGTGTCATCACATGTGTCAACCTGTTCACACCATGGCAAGATGTCACTTGAAAGCAACACAGCTGCCTGCAGCGAAAGACAGGGTAGTGAGTGGGAAGAAAGGATGGGAAACCGTGACAAGAAGCTGGAACCAGTGTCGTGTTTATAGTTTTGTATTGACAATAAGACCTGCAGTGCAGTCCTCAAGATTCTTCTGAGTGCGTTGAGCATCGTAAATTTGTACAGAAGCTTGTTTCCAGGTGGGCTTACCGGAAGTAGCTCCTTATTTAAGATTTTATTGTGCAGCCGATCCTGTTATTTAGGATTGTATTGTACAGTGTTGTCAACTTGCAGCCTCATCTCATCGGATAAGCAGCTAAATTGAGCTGGCCCTGGCCAGAAGTGGAATGGAAGCCTACCAAAGAAGTGTTGTCAGTGTCGTTAGTGGACAATTTGGTGGAAGACTTATCTCGGGGCCCATAATCTCCAAGAACACTGTGCTACAGGAAGTGCCATCCTTTCTTCTTTGGATGAGACATGGAAACAAGATTCTGACCACTTGGGTATTAAATGTCCTGATGGCACTATATAGTAGTGTTACCATGTTGTTTTGGCCAAATTCCACTTTGGGCTTTCAAAATCTAGCCTATCTGAATTCCCCCCCTGGGCGGAGCGGTGACTCTGTGGCTAAGGATCTGCCCCTGTGACTGGAAGGTTGCCGGTGCAAATCCCGCGGCCGGCAGAGGAATCCCACTCCATTGGGCCCCTGAGCAAGGCCCTTAACCCTAACTGCTCCAGGGGCGCCGTACAATGGCTGACCCTGCGCTCTGACCCCAAGCTTCTCTCCCTGTCTGTGTCTCCATGGAGAAAAGTTGGGGTATGCGAAAAGACGAATTCCTAATGCAAGAAATTGTATTGGGCTAATAAAGAAACATTATTATTATTATTATTATTATTATTATTATTATTATTATTAATTCAGCTGGTGAAGTAATTTCTCACTTATCCTGCTGTCTGATAGGACTGCTGGTGCATTATGAGTGCCATGAGTCATCCAGGTATGGGCTGCACGACAGTTCGGCATGTAAATCTTTTTGGGATGGAAAACTATACAAATGTTAATTCTTCTGTTATTATGAGGTTCTAATGCAACTTATTTTGTATTATTTAGGTCATGTGTGCCTCTATGAGGTGTCCTGTTAACAACTACCGTATGAAACCTCAGCTGGTCTGTACACTTCAACGCCTTCGACAATGAGTGAGTACATTTTACCTGTGGTACAGTGAATGACTGATACAGTCCTCGCAGACTGAAATGAAAAATAAAGAAATATTAGTGATTTATGATGATCTGTGTGCATTTGCCTGGTGTGGCAGATGGTGTGAGACTGAAAGTGCTTTATTGCGTAAATATTTTCCTTCCATCAGCTCTCTAAACTCTGCTGTTGGAGGCATGTGGGTTTTCTGACCATCAACTCCAGGTGTTCACTGTCTACATTTTAACTTCTATTTGCCCTGTGTAGACTTTACTTTTAGTCATGAATAAAGTCAGTATAATACAAGTGATTTTTTTTTCTTTTTATAGTTTTTATATGTTTCTTCCTCAAAGTCTACTGAATTTAATATACATGTATGCTTTCTCTTGAAGCTCTTTGCTAAACTGAAAGTCAGTTTAACAAAAATATTGAAAGCCTTATTCTTTCTTGGCAGAAGCAGTTTTACAGAGGTAAAAGTTACTGTTTAAGCCCTTGGTTCTGTTTTATTAAAGTGCTAATCTATACCATTGAAGCCTCTTATTTTGTGCATTAATATTAAGGAGCCATTGCTATGTTATTAGGTTCTGTCGATTCTTGCTGCAGCAACTGTTTTTTGTTCTTTCTAAATGAAGGGAATGTCAAGTCAGCAAAAGCCATTTAAAGAATGTATTGATTCCCCGTGACAATTCTTCTTACTGTGCAATAGTGCTTCCGCTAAGGAAAAGCAAACATATCTGCTGTGTGAAACGTGCTTAGGACACTAGTTTCGTATAAACACACGTGTTTCAAGGTCAGTTGCCTTTTAACTTAAACAGGATCAGAGAAGATTACTGCTTTCTTTTTTGTGTGTATTTTTCCAATGGGATAGTTTTCAGGGGAGTTAAAATGCATAGAACACAATTAATTTGCCTGAAGGTAAAATTAACACACTTCTAATCCAGTTCATTATGTATGAAGGAATTGAATTATAATGTAGTATCTGAACATTTATTTAATAATTTGAGGTTATTACTTCTGTGGGATTAAGCACACAGAAGTAAGATGAAAGCATCTTACTAGAAGTGTTAGAAGTAATGAGATTAAGGACAGTTCTCGGATGATTTTGCTCTGCGCTATACGTTTAAAATGCTTTGGTGAGGTGAGGAGTATAGTTAATCTTGCATGATCGCACTACATTCAGGCTATCCCTTCCTTAGATGATGTTACTGGAAGACTTTGATTTTTTCCTTATGGAATTTACAAGATGGAAGAGTACTTTTTCAATACCTTTCACAAAGAAAAAAAATCGAGGATTGGCATAGCTCCTCTTCACCTGTTATTATATTATCTTTAGCCTTTATTAATATGTTTTGTATGGCTTTATGTCTGGTATGTCAGAAGTAATCTTACCTGTTGAACTCATAGGACTCTTAAATAGGACATAGGAGACTTAAAATTGTACAATTAAGAAAATCGCGTGTGATTATCACATACAGTGCCTACTAAAAATGTATTCATATCCCTCGCACAGTTTTCACATTTTGTTGCTGTAAAGCTTGCAGTTATGACATTTTGAAGTACCTGAATAATAAAAACGGAAAAAAGTAAATGGATCATATTAAGGAAAAATGGAAATGTCACAATTGCATGACCATTCAAGCTCTGTATTGTGCATATTTAAATTAATTTAGAAGTGCAAAATTACTCAGTTTGAGTGGCCTTTGTGTGTAGTAATAGTGGTGCACATGATTTCAGAAGAACATGCCTATCTCTGTACAGTCCTTCAGTCAGCTTTTGAATTTCTAGCAAAGACTCAACCATGAAGTCCAAGGAGCTTTCAGTACGAAAAGAAATCTAAACAATTCATGAATGCACAGATCAAGAGAAGGTTATAGAATATTCAGAGATACTGAATATGTCTTTGAGCATGGTAACTCAGCTCTTTATTGAGATTCCACACCACCCAGCCACTGCCTTGGCCATGCTGTCCCTCTAAACTGAGCTGCCAGGTGAGAAGGAAACCATGAGACTAACAGTGACTTTGAAAGAGTTATAGAGTTCAGTGGCTGAAATGGGAGAAAATGTCCATGCGTCAACAATATCCCACCACTCCACAAAGCTGGCGTGTATGGCAGAGGGGAAAACTCACCTCAAGTCCCACATGGAGTTTGCAACAAAGTGACTGATGACTGATATAGCAAATGTGGTAAATGGTCTTGTGTGGAAACAAGACTCAGTTGGAACTTTTTGGTCTAAATGCAAAGTGCTATAATTGACTCAAACCCAACATAGTGCATCAGTCGATCAACACCCTCCCTACTGTCAAGCAGGGTGGTGGCAGCATTCTGTTGTACTTCTGCTCCCCCCCAAGCAAGCTTGTCAGGACTGATGGGAATGTGCTGTAAGTGGAGCAAAGAACCGACAAGTTTCAGGGGAAAACTTTCTTCATGCCTTAAACAGAATAAAATGATTTCACCTTTTTATGACAGTAATTCAAAGAACAAGGTCAGAGCAAAGCTGATAGAGACTTACCCCCCAAAAAATTGCAGCTGTAATTGCTACCAAAGGCACTTCAATCAAATATTGACCTTATCTGAATGCTCAACAATTTTCAGTTTCTTTATTTTCTCTGTAATTTTTGGTGACACTGTTACTGTTGAGCATTCATGTTTTGAATTAAAAATACCTGTGAATCATTTTGTCATTTCACAAAGGAAAGGTCAGAATATGTTTGAAAGGCACTGAATACCCCAACCCTCTATGTCTATGTATTATTATGTATTATTTAGATGTTATTTCAAAACAATCTTAAGTACCCTGCTGGAGAGCTCGGAAGAAAAACAAAATATTTAGTTTTAAGTGAAATTATAAAGAGACATTAGGGATATTGTAATGGAATAATATGAAAGCAGAGTAGAGAGTATAAACCTGATATTCACAAGTTCCTCAAAGCTTATGTGGTAATTATTTAAACATATTGAACAGGTAATGTTATTCATTTTAAACACACTTCATGAAGTACCACACAACACAATGAAGGCCTCTAAAGAGATGCATGAAAATGCTTTAGATTAAGTTCTGCATAAAAGTATTTAGTATATAATCAATAGTAATGACAAACTGGGGTTTTCTAAAATATAAATAATGCATCACAGCAGTGGCCTAAACCTAAACTGTCACTCCTGACTAAGTATGGATGTTTTGTTAATATTCTACAGTTAACTTCAATTTGTAGTACATTGATGATAAAAAGAAGGTCTGTTAAACCTTTTTTGTGCAATTTAATCTAAAGTATAACCAGAACATATTGAGGCCATGAGCATAACCTAATGATGTTATTACAAAATCATCTAAATTAGATTATATTGAATTCTATGTTTTTGTGAAATGAACATCTGATGGTCAGTATGGGTCGCATGTGAAGGTCACATACTGTAGGTGTACACCATGCCCTGTAGTGATGGATTTTATACAGTAATCTGCTCAGTGCCAGATATGTATCTGTTTTTCTCTTCAAATAGTATTGTACACAATGCATTTGAGTGTATGGGGGTTCTGCAGATAAGATTAAAAGATGTAGCAAATGTTCCCACTGAATTGCTATTTTCTGTTGTTGTGTAAACCGTGAACACATCTGGAAGACCCGACCCTTAAACAAATGAGTGATCTACCACTTCATTCCTTAACCTAATTCCTGAGAAATATAAATTAGAGTATAAATTTATATTAAGATGATAAAGAATATTGTATTAAATTAATATAAGTAGATGTAGTTTTTACTGGAAACATTAGTATTCGTTTTGTGCAGTCTTTGCTGACTCTTAACTTCTTTCTCTCATACACCTGTTCCGTCTGTGTTATAAAATATGAATATTTGGCAAAGTAATGGCCTTTTGTGAGTCTGCCTGCATGGATTTAGAAAAATAGTCTTGTTTAACTTGATTACTAGAGTTCTTTGAAAAATAAGCAGGTATGGTGAGTATATTTACTGTAGATTCCTCCCGGAACGATTTTGATAAGGTCCTTCATACATAGAAGGGTAAATTTAAAACTGAAAGCTGTAGGAATTAAACTTAATTAATGCACAAAGACTAAACGTCATAAACTAAAAGTCATTTTAACCGGCATAATCTGTACTTATGAAGTTAAGGGCTCTGGAACATAGCAACATTTTTTTTCTGGTATAAATGGTCGACTAGTTAAAATTCCCAGATGATACAATTCAGAAAAAGGGACAGACAAAACAAATAACAATCTCATGCACTGGGCAGGCTCTTGACAAATGGAGTTTAACAATGGCATGTGCATAGTGAAGGATAGATGGTACTGAGCAGAAGGTATGTAGAAATACATTTTGAGCTTTTACATACAGTAGATTCCTCTTTGTCCTCATCATAACTATGTGGGTAAAATAATAAAACAAATGGTAAAGTCAAGGGGAGTTCTGCTTGAGCCTGTTAATGCTTTAGTATGATGTCATTTAGAATACAGTTTCGTTTTTGTCAGGACATCCCCAAAAGGATATATCTGTAAAATTACGGAACAAGAAGAATGACTCTTTGTCTCAAGAGGTTATCATGATTATCATGTACGGACTGGTTAAAGGATCTAATACTCTTCAAGTATAACAAGTGAGTAAGAACAGACTTGATTTAGAGGTAGTATAGTCATCCCAGTGGACTTCTTTAAATTCCCTAGAAAAACAAGGACATGGAATCACAATTGGAAATAGGACTGAGAAAAGGAAAAAAGCCTTCTTTACACAAAGAGCCGTGGGAGTCTGGAACAGGCCTTAGCCAGGTGGTTGGGGCCAAACCTTAGACTTCTTTAGGAAACTGCTAGATATTTTTTTTTACTTCTCTTAGTTACTAAACTAAAAAAGAACCAAGATGGGCCAAATGACCTTCACTCATTTGCAAATTTTCTCAGTATAGCAAGATTTTTAAACAAAATATAATTTAAATATAAAACAGATATCTGGTGATTAAGAGCAAACATCTCGTCACAACTAGTAAAATTATAC